CGGAGGCGGCCATGCGCTTACGTTGGGAACTGTAGCGTCGGGCGAAGGCGGCCATGCGCTTGCGTTGGGAACTGTAGCGTCGGGCGAAGGCGGCCATGCGCTTGCCTTGGGAACTGTAGCGTCGGGCAAAGGCGGCCATGCGCTTGCCTTGGGAACTGTAGCGTCGGGCGAGGTGGCCATGCGCTTGCCTTGGGAACTGTAGCATCGGGCGCAGGCGGCCATGCGCTTGCCTTGGGAACTGTAGCGTCGGGCGAAGGCGGCCATGCGCTTGCCTTGGGAACTGTAGCGTCGGGCGAAGGCGGCCATGCGCTTGCCTTGGGAACTGTAGCGTCGGGCGAAGGAGGCCATGCGCTTGCGTTGGGAACTGTAGCGCCGGGCGAAGGAGGCCATGCGCTTCCCTTGGGACGCATAGTGCGAGGCGCCGCTGCCCAGGCTCTTCCTTTGGGAAACGTAGCGCCGTGCGCAGGCGGCCATGCTCTTGATTTGGGAACCGTAGCGCCGGGCCAGGCGCCTCCCTCCGCCAACCCCTCCCTGGGATCTAGAGCACGGCGCCCTTTTGGGTGCACGACGAAGGTGTTGGCAGCGATCTTCTCCACGTATGGGCTGCGCATGCGCAGTGCGCCACCTGAAGCCTCCGTGTCCAACTGCGCATCGCGCATGCGCAGTGCGGCGCCCGGCGCTTCCTCCTCTTGAACCCGTAGGGACGCGCTGCGCCGGCCTTCGCGCGCCCGCCTTGGCGCTTCGGACATGCGCATGTCGTCCCGGCCGACGTGCATGCGCAGTGCGGCGCCCGGCGCTTCCCCCTTCTGGCTTGAGGCGTCCATAGGTTCCTGGAGCGACGCCACGCGCCGGCCTTTGCGCATGCGCGGCGAGCCGCTTTGCCCTTTGGACATGGGCAGAGAGGGCGCCGTGCGCATGCGCCGAGCGGTGTCCGGCGCTTCCTCTTCCCTGTTTGGTTGGCGGCTTGAGGCGCCCATAGGGTTCTGGGGCGAGGTGCTGCGCATGCGCGGCTGCCACCTTTGCGCTTCGGACCCGCGCCGAGGGTCCTCCAAGGTGGGCGCATGCCTTTCGCGCATGTGCAGTGCGGCGCCCGGCGCTTCCTCTTGCCCGTTCTGGCTATAGGTGTCCATAGGTTTCTGTGGCAGCGAGCAGCGCATGCGCGGCGAGCCCCGTTCCCCTTCGGACATGCGCAGCTTCTCCTGCAAGGCAAAAGAATGGACGTCGCGAATGCGCACAGCAAAACCCTCCACCCATGCGCAGTGGCAAACCAAAACCACCCCTTGCCCTCCGCCCATGCGCAGTGCCGACCCCTCCCCGCCCTTTGCCCCTCTGCCCATGCGCAGTGCCCAACTGAAGTCCCCCTCTTGCCCTCCGCACATGCGCGGTCCGCCCTCCGACGCCTCCTTCCGCCCTGCTTCCCTCCGCACATGCGCAGTGGGAAACCAAAACCACCCCTTAACTCTTCGCCCATGCGCAGTCTCCACCCCTCCCCGCCCTCCGCCCATGCGCAGTGGCCAACCCTCCGCTTCCCTTCGCTCATGCGCAGCTCCTCCGCTGAAACTTCCCTCTGCCCTTTGCGCATGCGCAGCTCGTTCCTCTGCCCCGCACAGCCTAAACCTCCCCTTTGCACAGCCTAAACCATGCGCCCCTCGCCCCTGCGCAACGAGCCCCTTTCCCCTTCGCACATGCGCACAGTCCTCCGAAGCGCTCAGCTGCCCTTCGCGCATTCACAACTAGCCCCTTTCCCCTCGCGCATGCGCAGCTCATCCCTCTTCCCACCTGCACAGGCGCACTGCCCAACCCTCCCCTCCCCTTCTCCCTCCGCACATGCGCACTGCCCAACTGCATGCCATCCCTTGCCCTTCCACGCCCTTTGCCCCTTCGCACATGCGCATCTCATCCCCCTGCCCTCTGCGCATGTGCAAGGATAAACGAAAACCACTTCGCCCTTCTCCCACCCGCAGCTCCTCCCTCCGCCCTCCGCACATGCGCAGTGTCCACCCCTCCCCGCCCGCCGCCCATGCGCAGTGGACAACCCTCCGCTTCCCTTCGCCCATGCGCAGCTCGTTCCTCTGCCTTCCGCCCATGCGCAGTGTCCACCCCTCCCCACCCATGCGCAGTGGACAACCCTCCGCTTCCCTTCGCCCATGCGCAGCTTGTTCCTCTGCCTTCTGCACATGCGCAGTGTCCACCCCTCCCCGCCCTCCGCCCATGCGCAGTGGACAACCCTCCGCTTCCCTTCGCCCATCCGCAGCTCGTTCCTCTGCCTTCCGCACATGCGCAGTGTCCACCCCTCCCCGCCCTCCGCTCATGCGCAGTGGCGCCAACCCTCCGCTTCCCTCCGCCCTTTGCGCATGCGCAGCTCCTTCCTCTGCCCTCCGCACATGCGCAGGGGCAAACCCAAACCACGCCTTCACCCTCCGCACATGCGCAGTGGGCAAACCGAAGCCTCCCGCCCCCTGCCCCTTTGAAAAACCACCTTCTGGGCCTCCGCGCATGCGCACGGCGCACTCCGACGCCTCCTCCCGCCCTTCGTCCACCCACAGCTCCTCCCTCGGCCCTCCGCCCATGCACAGTGTCCACCCCTCCCCGCCCTCCGCCCATGCGCAGTGGCCAACCCTCCGCTTCCCTTCGCCCATGCGCAGCTCGTTCCTCTGCCTTCTGCACATGCGCAGTGTCCACCCCGCCCTCCGCCCATGCGCAGTGTCCACCCCTCCCCACCCATGCGCAGTGGCCAACCCTCCGCTTCCCTTCGCCCATGCGCAGCTCGTTCCTCTGCCTTCCGCCCATGCGCAGTGCCCACCCCTCCCCGCCCTCCGCCCATGCGCAGTGGCCCCAACCCTCCGCTTCCCTCCGCACATGCGCGCCTCATCCTTGTGCCCTCCGCACATGCGCAGGGGCAAACCCAAACCACCCCTTCACCCTCCGCACATGCGCAGTGGGCAAACCGAAGCCTCCTTCCGCCCTCTGCTCCTTCGCACATGCGGAAAACCACCTTCTTGGCCTCCGCACATGCGCACTCCGATGCCTCCTTCCACACGCAAACCAAAACCACCCCTTAACTCTTCGCACATGCGCAGTGTCCACCCCTCTCTGCCCATGCGCAGTGGCCAACCCTCCGCTTGCCTTCGCCCATGCGCAGCTCCTCCTCTGAAACTTCCCTCTGCCCTTTGCTTATGCGCAGCTTGTTCCTCTGCCTTCCGCCCATGCGCAGTGTCCACCGCTCCCCGCCCTCCGCCCATGCACAGTGGCACCAACCCTCCGCTTCCCTCCGCACATGCGCACCTCATCCTTGTACCCTCCGCACATGCGCAGGGGCAAACCCAAACCACCCCTTCACCCTCCGCACAAGTGCAGTGGGCAACCCTCCCCGCCCTTTGACCCTCCACGCGTGCGCACCTCATCCTTGTACCCTCCGCACATGCGCAGGGGCAAACCCAAACCACCCCTTCACCCTCCACACATGCGCAGTGGGCAACCCTCCCCGCCCTTTGACCCTCCACGCGTGCGCACCTCATCCTTGTGTCCTTCGCACATGCGCAGGGGCAACCCAAACCAACCCTTCACCCTCCACACATGCGCAGTGGGCAACCCTCCCCGCCCTTTGACCCTCCACGCGTGCGCACCTCATCCTTGTGTCCTTCGCACATGTGCAGGGGCAAACCCAAACCACCCCTTCACCCTCCGCACAAGTGCAGTGGGCAACCCTCCCCGCCTTTTGACCCTCCACGCATGCGCGCCTCATCCTTGTGCCCTCCGCACATGCACAGGGGCAAACCCAAACCACCCCTTCACCCTCCGCACATGCGCAGTGGGCAACCCTCCCCGCCCTTTGACCCTCCACGCATGCGCACCTCATCCTTGTGCCCTCCGCACATGCGCAGTGGCAAACCGAAACCACCCCTTCACCCTTCGCACATGCGCAGTGGGCAACCCTCCCCGCCCTTTGACCCTCCACGCATGCGCACCTCATCCTTGTGCCCTTCACACATGCGCAGGGGCAAACCCAAACCACCCCCCGCCGCACATGCGCAGGGGCAACCCTCCCCGCCCTTTGACCCTCCACGCATGTGACCTCATCCTTGTACCCTCCGCACATGCGCAGGGGCAAACCCAAACCACCCCTTCACCCTCCACACATGCGCAGTGGGCAACCCTCCCCGCCCTTTGACCCTCCACGCATGCGCACCTCATCCTTGTGCCCTCCGCACATGCGCAGGGGCAAACCCAAACACCCCTTCACCCTCCGCACATGCGCAGTGGACAACCCTCCCCGCCCTTTGACCCTCCACGCATGCGCACCTCATCCTTGTGCCCTCCGCACATGCGCAGGGGCAAACCAAACCACCCCTTCACCCTCCGCACATGCGCTTCACCGAAGCCTCCCACACACAACTCCTCCCTCTGCCCTCCGCCCATGCGCAGTGGCCAACCCTCCGCTTCCCTTCGCCCATGCGCAGCTCCTCCTCTGAAACTTCCCTCTGCCCTTTGCGCATGCGCAGCTCGTTCCTCTGCCGTCCGCACATGCGCAGTGGCCAACCTTCCCCGCCCTCTGCACATGCGCAGTCTCCACCCCTCCCCGCCCTCCACCCATGCGCAGTGGCCAACCCTCCGCTTCCCTTCGCCCATGCGCAGCGCCTCCTCTGAAACTTCCCTCTGCCCTTTGCGCATGCGCAGCTCGTTCCTCTGCCCTCCGCACATGTGCAGTGGCCAACCTAAACCTCCCCTTTGCTCTTTACACATGCGCCCCTCCGCACATGCGCAACGAGCCCCTTTCCCCTTCGCACATGCGCAGTGGCCAACCTAAACCTCCCCTTTGCTCTTCGCACATGCGCTCCTCGCCCCTGCGCAACAAGCCCCTTTCCCCTTCGCGCATGCGCAGCTCATCCCCCTGCCCTCTGCGCATGTGCAAGGATAAAGGAAAACCACCCCTTCACCCTCTGCACATGCGCAGTCGCAAACCGAAGCCTCCTTCCGCCCTCTGCCCCTTTGCACATGCGCATCTCATCCCTCTGCCCTCTGTGCATGTGCAAGGATAAACGAAAACCACCCCTTTCCCCTTCGCCCATGCGCAGTGGGCAACCCTTTCCCGCCCTTTTGCCCCTCCGCACATGCGCATCTCATCCCTCTGCGCATGTGCAAGGATAAACGAAAACCACCCCCTTTCCTCTTCGCACATGCGCAGTGGCCAACCTAAACCTCCCCTTCGCTCTTTGCACATGCACCCCTTGCCCCTTCGCACATGCGCAACGAGCCCCTTTCCCCTTCGCACATGCGCAGTGGCCAACCTAAACCTCCCCTTCGCTCTTTGCACATGCGCCCCTTGCCCCTTCGCACATGCGCAACGAGCCCCTTTCCCCCTTCGCACATGCGCAGTGGGCAACCTAAACCTCCCCTTCGCTCTTTGCACATGCGCCCCTCGCCCCTTCGCACATGCGCAACGAGCCCCTTTCCCTTCGCGCATGCGCAGCTCATCCCCCCTGCCCTCTGCGCATGTGCAAGGATAAAGGAAAACCACCCCTTCACCCTCTGCCCATGCGCAGTGAGCAACCCTTTCCCGCCCTTTGCCCCTCCGCACATGTGCATCTCATCCCTCTGTGCATGTGCAAGGATAAACAAAAACCACCCCCTTTCCTCTTCGCACATGCGCAGTGGGCAACCCTTTCCCGCCCTTTGCCCCTCCGCACATGCGCATCTCATCCCCCTGCCCTCTGCGCATGTGCAAGGATAAATGAAAACCACCCCCTTTTCTCTTCGCCCATGCGCAGTGGCCAACCTAAACCTCCCCTTTGCTCTTTGCACATGCGCCCCTTGCCCCTTCGCAATGAGTCCCTTTCCCTTCGTGCATGCGCAGACAGTCGTCCGAAGCGCTCAGCTGCCCTTCGCGCATTCACAAACAAGCCCCTTTGCCCCTTCGCACATGCGCATCTCATCCCCTGCCCTCTGCGCATGTGCAAGGATAAACGAAAATCACCCCCTTTCCTCTTCGCACATGCGCAGTGGGCAACCTAAACCTCCCCTTTGCTCTTTGCACATGTGCCCCTTGCCCCTTCGCACATGCGCAACAAGCCCCTTTTCCCCTTCGCGCATGCGCAGCTCATCTCCCTGCCCTCCGCACATGCGCAGGGGCAAACCGAAGCCTCCTTCCGCCCTCTGCCCCTTCGCCCATGCAGAAAACCACCTTCTTGGCGTCCGCGCATGCGCACTTCGCAACCCGACGCCTCCTTCCGCCCTTCTCCCACACGCAGCTCCTCCCTCCGCCCATGCGCAGTGTCCACCCCTCCCCACCCTCCGCCCATGCGCAGTGTCCACCCCTCCCCACCCTCCGCCCATGCACAGTGGCCAACCCTCCGCTTCCCTTTGCGCATGCGCAGCTCATTCCTCTGCCTTCCGCCCATGCGCAGTGTCCACCCTTCCCCGCTCTCCGCCCATGCACAGTGGCCAACCCTCCGCTTCCCTTCGCCCATGCGCAGCTCGTTCCTCTGCCTTCCGCCCATGCGCAGTGTCCACCCTTCCCCGCTCTCCGCCCATGCGCAGTGGCCAACCCTCCGCTTCCCTTCGCCCATGCGCAGCTCGTTCCTCTGCCTTCCGCCCATGCGCAGTGTCCACCCCTCCCCGCTCTCCGCCCATGCGCAGTGTCCACCCTTCCCCGCTCTCCGCCCATGCGCAGTGTCCACCCTTCCCCGCCCTCCGCCCATGCGCAGTGGACAACCCTCCGCTTCCCTTCGCCCATGCGCAGCTCGTTCCTCTGCCTTCCGCCCATGCGCAGTGTCCACCCCTCCCCGCCCTCCGCCCATGCGCAGTGGACAACCCTCCGCTTCCCTTCGCCCATGCGCAGCTCGTTCCTCTGCCTTCCGCCCATGCGCAGTGTCCACCCTTCCCCGCTCTCCGCCCATGCGCAGTGGCCAACCCTCCGCTTCCCTTCGCCCATGCGCAGCTCGTTCCTCTGCCTTCCGCCCATGCGCAGTGTCCACCCCTCCCCGCTCTCCGCCCATGCGCAGTGTCCACCCTTCCCCGCTCTCCGCCCATGCGCAGTGTCCACCCTTCCCCGCCCTCCGCCCATGCGCAGTGGACAACCCTCCGCTTCCCTTCGCCCATGCGCAGCTCGTTCCTCTGCCTTCCGCCCATGCGCAGTGTCCACCCCTCCCCGCCCTCCGCCCATGCGCAGTGGACAACCCTCCGCTTCCCTTCGCCCATGCGCAGCTCGTTCCTCTGCCTTCCGCCCATGCGCAGTGTCCACCCCTCCCCGCCCTCCGCCCATGCGCAGTGGACAACCCTCCGCTTCCCTTCGCCCATGCGCAGCTCGTTCCTCTGCCTTCCGCCCATGCGCAGTGTCCACCCCTCCCCACCCATGCGCAGTGGCCAACCCTCCGCTTCCCTTCGCCCATCCGCAGCTCGTTCCTCTGCCTTCCGCACATGCGCAGTGTCCACCCTTCCCCGCCCTCCGCCCATGCGCACTGGCGCCAACCCTCCGCTTCCCTCCGCCCTTTGCGCATGCGCAGCTCCTTCCTCTGCCCTCCGCACATGCGCAGTGGCCAACCTAAACCACCCCTTCACCCTCCGCACATGCGCAGTGGGCAAACCGAAGCCTCCCGCCCTCTGCCCCTTCGAAAACCCACCTTCTGGGCCTCCGCGCATGCGCACTGCGCAACCCGACGCCTCCTTCCGCCCTTCTTCCACCCGCAGCCCTCCGCGCCTGCGCACTGGCCGCCCCTCCCTCCCCTCGGCCCTCCCGCGCAGGCGCAGAGGGCACTCCTTGCCTCCTTCGCCCGTGAGAAAAAAACCACCTCGGCCTCCGCGCATGCGCACTGCGCAACCCGACGCCTCCTTCCGCCCTTCTCCCCCACGCAGCTCCTCCCTCGGCTCTCCGCGCCTGCGCACTGACCACCCTTCCCTTCCCTCGGCCCTCCCGCGCATGCGCAGCGGGCGCTCCGAGCCTTTTTCTGCCCCTTCGCCCGTGCGAAACACAACCTTCTGGGCCTCCGCGCCTGCGCAATGCGCAACCCGACGTCTCCTTCCGCCCTTCTCCCGCCCGCATTTCCTCCCTCGGCTCTCCGCGCCTGCGCACTGACCACCACCTCCCTTCCGCACATGCGCAGTGGGCACTCTGAGCCTCCTTCCGCCCTTCTTCCCCGCGAAGCTCCTCCCTCCGCGCCTGCGCACTGCCCATCCCTCCCCGCCCCTTCGCCCCTTCGCGCGTGCGCAGTGGGCAAATTGAAGCCGCCTCCCGCCCTCTCTTGCCCGAATCCCCTCGAACCTTCTCGTATTGCTTCCTCAGGCGGCGGACGCGGCCCGGCTCGGGTTCAAAGAGCACCACCTCCTCGGCCCTCAGGACGGCGTCACCCCGCTCCGTCGTGACGTCGCCCGTGACGTCACGCGTCTCGACAATGACGATGCGCTCGGCCCGGAGGATCCGGACGCCCGGCCGGGCCGAGTAGAGCTCGAGGAGGCCGGAGAGCGAGGCGGCCTTGGCCCGCTTCTTGGCCAGCAAGGCCCGCTGCCACTCCGGGAGAGGCGAGGGCTCCATGGCGGCAAGGCCTGAGGTGAGGAGGGAGGGGATTGGAGGGAGGGGGTGTCCGTCAAAGAAGTGGGCCAATGGGGAGCGGGCGGAGGGGAGACGCCCCGCCCACTCCGGCTCCGGCCTGGTTTGCCGCGAGGAAAGGACGCGCGCTGAGGGAAGGAGGGCGGCGATTGGCTGCCTGGGTTGTCGGTCAAAGGAGTGGGCCAATGGGCGGGGAGGAGGGCGGTGGGGATTGGTTCGTTCGCCAGAAGATCCGCCCACTTGGCCGGGCCTGGCTTGACTCCTTGAGGAAAGGGCGCTGAGGGAGGAAAGGAGATTATTGGCTGGCCGGCTGGTCTGTCAAATAAGTGGGCCAATGGGGAGCGGGGCAATGCGCCCACTCTGGCTCGGGCCTCCTTTGCCATGAGGAAAGGACGCGCTCTGAGGGAACTAGGGCGGCGATTGGCTGCATGGGGTGTCCCTCAAAGGCGCGGGCCAATGGGAGCCGGTTTTTGAGGAGGCGGGCGGTGCGGATTGGTTCGTTCCTGCGACGCTCCGCCTACTTGGTCGGGCCCCGCTTGACTTCGTAGACTCTGAGGATGGAAAGGAGGGGATTGGCTGGCGCGGTTGTCTGTCAAACGTGCCAGCCAATGGGAACCGGACGTTGAAGAGAGGCGCGGCGTTGATTGGCTCGCTTGATCCACGCTCCGCCCACACTCCTTTGGCATGAGAAAAGATGGGCTTTGAGGTAACTAGGGCGGCGATTGGATGGCTCGGTTGTCCGTCAAAAGCGCGGGCCAATGGGGAGCGAGCGCTGAGGAGACGCCCGGCGCTGATTGGCTCGCTCGGGCGACGCTCCGCCCACTCTCCTTTGCCATTAGAAAAGACTCTGAGGGAGGAAAGGAGAGGGTTGGTTTGCTGTCAAAACGTGGGCCAATGGAAAGCGAGCGGCGATTGGATGGCCGGGTTGTCCGTCAAAGGCGCGGGCCAATGGGGAGAGGGCGGTTAGCAGACGCGCGGCGCGGATTGGCTCGCTGGCGCGACGCTCCGCCCACTTGTACGTCCTCTGAGGCAGCAAAGAAGAGGGTTGGCTGACGCGCTTGTCTGTCAAACGCTTGGGCCAATGGGGAGAGGGCGGCGAGGAGACGCGCGATGCGGGTTGGCTCGATAGAGCGTCGCTCCGCCCACACTCCTTTCCTATGAGAAAAGACGCTCAGAGGGATCAAATGAGATGATTGGCCGTTGGGCTGTCAGTCAAAGTTGGGGCGGATCGGATTGGTTCGCTCGCGCGACGCTCCGCCCTCAGCTCTGGCCTCCTTTGACGGGCTATGCGGCAGTAAAGAATAATATTGGGCGGCGGGCTGTCAGTCAAACGCCAAGGCGGCGCGGATTGGTTCGCTCCGGCGACGCTCCGCCCACAAGCGGGTACCTACTTTAACAGGAGGGGCGGGCCCTTCTGTGAGCAAAGCAGACGATTGGCTGTCGACGCGGCCTGTAGCGAATGGAATGCGCTGAGTGGCTGACGCAGAGGCAAGGCCAGCCAATGGGAAGCGGGCGGCGGGGGAAAAGGGTTGAATCCGGCCCTGATTGGTCGGTTGGCGTCGGAACGGCATCAGCAGGGCCTGCGCAGGAGGCGCGGCCTGATGACGTACGCGGAAGCGGCTCCTTTGGCAGCTGGTGGATTTCTGCCATTCTTCCTATTCCTTAATTCCTATTTAATTCCTTAATTCCTATTTAATTCCTTAATTCCTATTTTTTTCTTTATTTTTTTCTATTTTTTTCTTTATTTTTTTCTATTTTTTCTTTATTTTTTTCTATTTTTTCCTTTTTTTCCCTTTATTTTTTCCTCTATTTTTTTCTTTATCTTTTCTATTTTTCTATTTTGTTTCTTTATTTTTTTCTATTTTTTCCTTTATTTTTTAATATTTATTTATTTATTTTTTCTATTTTTCTATTTTCTTCTTTATTTTTCCTATTTTTTCTTAATTTTTTTCTATTTTTCTATTTTTTTTCTTTATTTTTTTCTATTTTTTCTTTATTTTTTTCTATTTTTCTATTTTTCTTCTTTATTTTTTTCTATTTTTCTTTATTTTTTCTATTTTTTTCTTAATTTTTTATTTTTCTATTTATTTCTTTATTGTTTCTATTTTTCTACTTTTTTCTTTATTTTTCCTTTATTTTTTATATTTTTTTCTATTTTTCTATTTATTTCTTTATTTTTTCTATTTTTCTATTTTCTTCTTTATTTTTTCCTATTTTTTCTTTATTTTTTCCTATTTTTTCTTTATTTTTTTCTATTTTTCTTTTTTTCCCCCCTATTTTTCTATTTTTTTTCTTTATTTTTTCTATTTTTTTCTTTATTTTTCTAATTTTCTCTAATTTTTCCCTATTCCCCCCGGTCATTGACCGTATTAAAGATATTTGATTTGATTTGATTTTGATTTTTCTATTTTCTTCTTTATTTTTTCTATTTTTTCTAGTTTCTTCTTTATTTTTTTCTAATTTTTCTATTTTTTTCTTTATTTTTTCTATTTTTCTATTTTTTCTTTATTTTTTCTATTTTTCTATTTTCTTCATTTTTTTCTATTTTTCTATTTTCTTCTTTATTTTCTTCTTTATTTTCTTCTAATTTTTCCCTATTTCCCCCCCTTAATTCCTATTTTTTCCCTGCTATATTTTTTCCTGTTTTCTCCTCCGAGATTGGGGTAATATTGAAAGGAATAACTCATTATTATTATCGTTATTATCATTATCATTATCATCATCATCATTATTATTATTATTATCATCATTATTATCAATATTATTATCATCATCATTATTATCATTATTATTATTATTATTATTATTATTATTAGTGGTAGTAGTATTGTTTATTATTATTATTATTATTATTATTATTATTATTATTTATTGGTGGTGGTAGTATTGTTTATTATTATTATTATTATTATTATTATTATTATTTATTGGTGGTGGTAGTATTGTTTATTATTATTATTATTGTTTATTGTTATTATTATTATTATTATTATTAGTGGTAGTAGTAGTATTGTTTATTATTATTATTATTATTATTATTATTATTATTATTATTATTATTTATTGGTGGTGGTAGTATTGTTTATTATTATTATTGTTTATTGTTATTATTATTATTATTATTAGTGGTAGTAGTAGTATTGTTTATTATTATTATTATCATTATTATTATTATTATTATTATTAGTGGTGGTGGTAGTATTGTTTATTATTATTGTTGTTTATTGTTATTATTATTATTATTATTATTATTATTATTATTATTAACAGTTATTAACTTTATTGTTGACATTGTGATTTATTGTAGCAGTAGTATTGTTTATTATTATTATTATTATTATTATTATTATTATTATTATTAACAGATGGAGCCGCCCCGCCGCCTCCTCCTCCTTTTCGGCAGCCAATCCGGCACCGCCGAGGATCTGGCCCAGCGAATCGGGCGCCAGGCCGAGAGGCGCCGCTTCCGGGTCCGCGTCGGCGCCTTGGACGCCTATCCGGTGGTGAGTTCGAATCCCGCTTTGGCCGATTGACGTCGCCCCTGAGCATGCGCAGAGTTCAAACCTTTTTTCTGCTTTTTCCTCTCTCCCTTTTTTCCTTCCTTTCTTCCTTTCCCCCCCTCCCTTTTCTGATTTTTTTCTTCCCTTTTTTCTTTTTCTCTCCGTTTTCCCCTTCTTTTTCCCCTCCCTTTTTTCCTTTTCTCTCTCCCTTTTTTCTGGCTCCCCCTCGTTTTTTCCTTCTTTTTCCCCTCCCTTTTTTCTTTTTTGTCTCCCTTTTTCCCTTCTTTTCTCCCTTTTTTTCTTTTCTCTCTCCCTTTTTTCCTTCCTTTCTTCCATTTCTCTCTCCCTTTTTTCCCTTCTTTTTTCCCTCCCTTTTTTCTTTTTTCTCTCCCTTTTTCCCTTCCTTTCTTCCTTTTTTCCATTTTTCTCTTGCTCCCCCCGTTTTTTCCTTCTTTTTTTCCTCCTTGTTTTCTTTTTTCTCTCCCTTTTTTCCTTCCTTTCTTCCATTTCTCTCTCCCTTTTTTCCTTCCTTTCTTCAATTTCTCTCTCCCTTTTTCCTTCCTTTCTTCCCTTTCTCTCTCCCTTTTCTCCTTCCTTTCTTCCATTTTTCTCTCCCTTTTTTCCTTCCTTTCTCTCTCCCTTTTCTCCTTCCTTTCTTCCATTTTTCTCTCCCTTTTCTCCTTCCTTTCCTCCATTTTTCTCTCCCTTTTCCCCTTCTTTTTCCCCTCCATTTCCCCCTCCTTTTTTTCTTTTTTCTCTCCCTTTTGTCCTTCCTTCCTTCCATTTCTCTCTCCCTTTTTTCTTGCTCCCCCCGTTTTTCCCTTCTTTTTTCCCTCCCTTTTTTCTTTTTTCTCTCCCTTTTTTCCTTCCTTTCTTCCTTTTT